CAGTTAGCAATACAGCAGCTGTGTTTTGCACTAATTGGAGTTTCCAAAGCACCTGAAAGGGTAGCCCCCCCCAAAAAAACCCTTAGATTAGTATACCCTGGGGAATATGCATAGAGAACTGAAGCTAGGTGATAGCTGCCCAGTTACAGTCACATCTGCACACTAGCCTAGGCAAGGGAAAGGCATTCAGCATCCCCGGAGCTGCATGGCAACTTTACACTTGATCAGTTTGCCTAGGGAGAAACAAAAGCAAATCCAGTACTGAAACAGAACTGTGGTCCGGTGGGGAAAAATACCTGATTCTGCCAGGATTCACCAGCTTATGCTAGTTTCCTTCCTAACACCCTAGAACAGGGATGGCCACTCTCCTCATCCGCCAACAGTCTGGCCAATGGTTGAGGATGATGGGAGTTCCAGCCAGAAGTTCTGGAGGGAGCCACATTGCCCTAGATTCTGCCCGGAATCCATCCCTAGCCTTCTGATTTACATACTGGCTCCACCCCCAGCCTGCCAGTTCTAATCTGGCTCCTCCCTATAGAAGCTAGTCCACATATTGGCTCTGTGCCAGTGGAGAATTTAAGGTGGTGTGGGCAGTCCCTCTATATAGCGTTGAAAAATGTTTCCCACTCCTGTTTGAATGCATGGACCAAAAGACTGAAGGGGACTCTTGTATCTACATAAAGGAGAAAACAAGAAGAGGGTAGAACGAAAGCCTTTTTTTAAAAAAAAAATTAAATCCATTCATAATTTTTAATTGTATTTTGAACTAACCTTTGGCTGTTGCGGCTTAGAATGGTTTTAATCAGAACCGTCAGCTGATTATGCTGCCTTTGTTATGAAAGAAGTTTGGGTGTTTTCTGTGTTCCTTTTCCAGGTCTTTTATTGCTTATTGCTGATTTTAATTATTGAATGCTGTATTTTTAATATTGTCTTGTTTGTAGACTGCCTAGGGAAGGGTTATAGATCAGGCAGCTAAATAAATAAAAATAAATAACGACTCTCCAGTACAATATCTCCTCAACATGAAGAATTTTCTAAATTTCCTGCCCTTCCCTCAGGTCAGCCCACAAAAAATCCAGCTGTGGATCTTGCTTATAAAACCGATACCTGTGCAGCCTGAGACTAAGCAAGCTTACTCAGAAGCAAGTCTCCCTATGCAGACATTATACCTTCAATGTTAATGGTACAGTGCGTGAGACTGTCCCAACAAGCCCTATACCCAAACACCCTGTGTTCTCTAGCCATTGTGGCTAGTAGCCATTGATAAGTCTTGTTCACGTGAAAGATGCACAGGGAGCCATACATTGAGTGACCCCTGGTTTAGAATGTCTAAATGCTTGGGAGTTGTTTAAAAGTGCAATGTTAGGTGCTCAGCTAGTAAAGTGCTCCTTCACACTGCACATAGCCAAACTATGGAATCCTAGAATTGTCAGGTTGGAAGGGACCCCAAGGGTCATGCAGTCCAACCTCCTGCAATGCAGGAATCTCCACTAAATTAGAAGAGTTTGGATTTGATATCCCACTTTATCATTACCCGAAGGAGTCTCAAAGCGGCTAACATTCTCCTTTACCTTCCTCCCTCACAATAAACACTCTGTGAGGTGAGTGGGGCTGAGAGACTTCAGAGAAGTGTGACTAGCCCAAGGTCACCCAGCAGCTGCATGTGGAGGAGCGGGGAAGCGAACCCGGTTCACCAGATTACGAGTCCACCGCTCTTAACCACTACACCACACTGGCTCTCCATGGTAGACGGCCATCCAACCTCTGCTTAAGAACCTCCAAGGAAGGAGATGCCACAGCCTCCAGAGGGAGACTGTTCCACTGTCAAACATTTCTTACTGCCAGAAAATTCTTCCTGATTTTGAGTCAGAATCTCCTTTCTTCTAATTGGAAGCCATTGTTTCAAGTCCTACCCTCCAGAGCAGGAGAAAACAAGGTTGCTCCATCTTCCATTTGACAGCCCTTGAGCTATCTGAAGATGGCTGTCATACCTCCTCTCCTCTCTTTTTCAGGCTAAACATACCCAGCTCCTTCAACCGTTCCTCATAAGGCCTGGTTTTGCGGAAATTGTTCCTACAAGAGATGGCGATGGCTATGAACTGAAATGGCTTCAAAAGATGATCAGACAAATTTACAGTGAATAAGGCTATCAATTGCTGCTAACCACAATGGCTTGTGTTCTCCCTTCTCCCTTCGCTCAGGTCTGAATGTTTCACTCAGGTCCTTATGGGCATGCTCTAAACATCCGGTTGGCCATTGTGAGAACAAATTGCTGGACCAGATGAACCTTGGACGAGAATCCAGCAGGGATTTTCTAATGTTCGTACATTCTTAATTCTTCCTGTACTGGGGAACATTTGCTGCTGCTATCATTATTAATAATACTAATACATTATCATCATCGTCTCCTGTACTTCACCTACCTAGGCATGGAACAAACGGGTTGCAAATTTTAGGCAGAGAGATAAGAACCTTTTTAAAGTGGAAAAAAAAGGTTCCTGTTTATAAGCCAGCTGCATCTCCAGGGCATCTCAAACAAGGCAACCTGGAATCCAGCCCAGGAATCACATTTCCATGTGCTGCAAACTACCAGCCATGGGGTCGATGATCAAGCTTGGTTTGGAGACTCCAAGTTGGCTCTGTTTGGGAACATCCCAGCATTTCATTTACAGGAAGAGGAAAGGAAGCCAGAAGCTTTGAGCACCAACATTCCTGCTAGATGCATAACAAATCTATGAAGGTCATCTGCCCAAGCAGCTGTTAATCCAGCCTTTGCGCCAGTGAAAGGATGTTGAACAAGAGCGATTGAGGATGCAACACCAGATTTCTCTGTAGTACTGGCAGCTCACACAATGAACTGTTTTGTGTTTCCTTGAACCTCCTGTAGAAGTATATATAGAAGCCTATGCTGTAGAATACGAGTGCTAACTGGTCACTGGTTAATGGGAAGGGCTGTTGTCAGTCAATGTAGACAGTACCGAACTAGATGGACCAATGGCCTGATTCAGTATAAAGCAGCTTCTTTTACACGCAACTATTTAAGCTCTAAGATCTCTCATCACTTTGCAAACAGGAGCCTAAATAATGATTTCTTCAGTGCTTGGCGGAGTATAAAATGGTTTATATCAACTCATTTACCCACAATTAGAGGTGCCAACACTGGTAGATGAATGTGGAGGAGAGTTTGGTCCTCCGCTCAAGAGATTTCTGAATGCTCAGGTAGAATGAGCAAAAACCAAACCTGGCTTCCATACCCCATTTATGAACGGAACATGTTTTGAAAAAAGGAGTGTTTGCATTGTGCTGGAAAGTGGCAAACAAATGGAACAGGTGAAATGAAATATTTGTGACAATGACAGGATACTAGTGCCAACTACAACAAAAACCTAGTTTGCCTTCTCTGCCTTTAATAGTGGCCTTACAGAACAGAAATTATGAATGCTGGCAAATGACAGGTGAGCTTTCATAGCTCTAGAATTCTTCTCTGGCTTGGGCTAAAATCCAAGCTGAATAAGAATTCCTGGATTCCCCACCCCTGCCAGAGGGGAGTTGCTGCAATGACTTGATCATTTTAGTTGCTCCTTTCTGAACGTTTTCTAGCACTGCAATATGCTTTTTGAGGTGTTACAACCAGAAAGCTCCCGTAAGTTCCTTTGATGGCAGGAGAGGGAAAACGAGGCTCTTTTAAAGACACACAGACCCTTCTTTGTTGAGGGGTACAAAGGAACATAAAACTGAGTCATGCCATCGGTTTATATAGTACAGAGGTCAGCAACCTTTTTCAGCCATGGGCCGGACTATATTTTGAAGGGGGGAAAATGAACGAACTCCTATGTCCCACATATAACCCAGAGATGCATTTTAAATAAAAGCACACATTCTACACGTGTAAAAACACCAGGCAGGCCCCACAAATAACCCAGAGATGCATTTTAAATAAAAGGACACATTCTACTCATGTAAAAACACACTGATTCCTGGACCGTCTGTGGGCCGGATTTAGAAGGCGATTGGGCCGCATCTGGCCCACGGGCCTTAGGTTGCCTACCCCTGATAGTATCTCGTATAGTGACTGGCAGTTGCTCTCTGGGGTTTCAGACATGGGATGTTTTCAGGCCTACCTGGAGATTGAACATGGCACCTTCTGCATGCAAAGCAGATACTCTACCAATGATCTTTCACCAGCTGCACTTACAAAATGGTTCAGGCTCATAATTTACAAAGGAGGAAATAAGAGTGAAGGCGGGAGACATTTTTACAACTCCCATTTCTGCTTTGCAAAGAACTTACTTCTGAGCTTTTGCCCTGAGGCCCACTTACTCTCCCAGTGAAACCATCAGGCTGTGCACACCACAGCCAGAGTCATTTTTTCCCTGTAGCTCAAAACCATTGACAAATTCAATCTAAGTACTTAATGGAGGTAGCAATAGTAGGTTCTGTTGCAGCTTGGCTTTGAAGTTTATCAGAGAGTGGCAAGGATAATTATAAAAGACAAGAGATTAAAAGCAACACTCCTTTTAATCAGTATGATATAGCTACAGAGTGTTTTTTCTCACATAAAAGACCAGCTTTAAGATATCAAGAGGTTTAGGAGGACCTTCAAAAGCAGTTGCTTTTTCTTTTTCTTTTCTTTCCCTTCTACTTCCAAGCACCTGCAAACTGGGTTGTTTTGTTTGTCTCCTATACATCGCCACAGCAGTTTCTGTTAAATCCCATTCTTCCCCTTGTAACATACTGATGTTTTATCTTTTTTTAAGCCTCGTGTTTCTTTCATGTAGCAAGTTTTTGTTGTTGTGGGCCGCAATATCTTAATGGGCAATCTTTCCCAGGCACATATCACTAACAACACAATGCCAATCTCTTGCCAGAGTGGTTTATTTCCATGATTGCACAGGGGGGGATGGGTGTGTGCGTTTGTTTGTGCATCTAAGGCTTGCGTTTAATTTCAGCTCCTTCCATCAAATCGAAATACTCCCCAAACTGTTTTTGAATTCAAAGGAGTTTGATTGCTCAGTCGGTACGGTGTGAGACTCTTAATCTCAGGGTGGGTTCAAGCCCCACATTGGGCAAAAAGATCCCTGCATTGCAGAGGGTTGGACTAGATGAACCTTGTGGTCCTTTCGATGTTTCTTTCTTATAATGCAGGCAAGTGAAGTGAAAATGCCAGTTATGTCTTAAATTTCTAGGAGGATCATTAACTGACACCTGTTTTTGGCTTAAGAACTTTACATCCCCCAAGCCATTGGTGGGGAACCTCACAACAACCCTGTGATGTAGATTAGGCTGAGAGGCAGTGGCTGGCTGAAGGTCACCCAGTGAGCTTGTCATCCCTGGTCCTTTACTGCAGGCTAATGCTTATAAATAAAAGTAATGAAATAAGTTGTTAGTACAGTGGTACCTTGGTTTACCTAACAGGGGTTAGCAAACTTTTTCAGCAGGGGGCCGGTCCACTGTCCCTCAGACCTTGTGGGGGTCCAAACTATTTTTTGGGGGGGGGGATGAACGAATTCCTATGCCCCACAAATAACTCGGAGATGCAATTTAAATAAAGGCACACATTCTACTCATGTAAAAACACCAGGCAGGCCCCACAAATAATCCAGAAATGCATTTTAAATAAAAGGACACATTCTACTCATGTAAAAGCACACTGATTCCAGGACCATCTGCGAGCTGGATTTAGAAGGCGATTGGGCCGCATCCGGCCCCCGGGCCTTAGTTTGCCTACCCATGGTTTACTAACTTAATCCGCTTTGAAGGCAAAGTCCACAAACCAAAACACCTACTTCCAGTTTTGCAGCGTTTTTAATCCACATTGTTCATAAACCAAGCTGTTCTTAAACCAAGGTACCACTGTATTAAATAAATGAAATACTTCAGAAATATACTTCAGAGCCATTTCCCTCCTCATTCAGCCCAGAAATAAAAGATACTCCTCTAGCAGTGCAAACCCAGACATGCCTACTCAGAAGTAAGCCCCCTCTGTTTCAATGCGATTTTCTCCCTGGTAAGTGGGTGTAAGAATGTAAGCTCAGTGTCTCATCTGGATTTCCATTCATGTGGTGTTATAAAGTGTAAAGCGGTTACCAGACTTTATTTAGATGTTGTAAAAAGCCTCGTTTCTATTAAAGCTTACGTCTCTTTCTCTTTGAAAGGGTTCCTATTTTATCATCCTTTACTAACGCTGAGGTTCTTTTGCTACCTTGCTTTCAAAATGCTTTATCATTTTTGACACATGCTTTCAGATCACTATGCGCAAGTCACTGTGTGTACAACTGGTTCTTTTAAGGAGGAGAAGAGCTCTTTCTATATCTTGGAGAACCCAACTGTGCCAAAAATATCTCCACTTTCCTCCTCCTCCACCACCACCCATCTCTGTCAATTAGTAAGAAAAAGGAAACTATCAAGGAGTTTTGTTGTGCTTACCCTACTTTCAAGGGTGCCAAAGGGGTGTATATGAGCATCATTTCTTACATTCTACAAAGCATCTCCTCAAATCGTGTCACTTTGCAGCCTTCCCAGGTGACTGCATTTCAACTGAAGCCCAAGGGAAACTTCTCCTATGGGGCTTTTTCACATCAGGAAGCATAGGCAGGTAGGGAGGCTGCAGGGGGCTGCAGAAATGTTTACAGGAAAAACAAAAAACACCAACTAGCTATAACTCTGTCGTAGAGTTCTGCATTGCATGCAGAAGATCCCAGGTTCAATGCCCATCATCTCCAAGAAGGGCTGGGCAATATTTCCATCTTAAACCTTGGAGAGCTAATGTTGGACTATGCAGACAATACTGAGCAAGATGGACCAATGGTTTGATGGAGTAAGGCAGCATCTTATGTTCTTATAGGTTCATTGACCACCTGACGGCGATAAGGAAATCTCAAAATTCTACACCCATTGGAATTCTTCTCAATATGCTTACCAATCTTCCCTGGCACCCAGGTTGTTGCCCTTATTTTCTCCCTAGCTTTTTCAGATCTTGTAATTTTAGTCCTAGTTGGTAGAGTCAGTACAGTGGTACCTCGGGTTAAGTACTTAATTTGTTCTGGAGGTCCGTTCTTAACCTGAACCTGTTCTTAACCTGAAGCACCACTTTAGCTAATGGGGCCTCCCGCTGCTGCTGCGCCGCTGGAGCATGATTTCTGTTCTCATCCTGAAGCAAAGTTCTTAACCCGAGGTACTATTTCTGGGTTAGCGGAGTCTGTAACCTGAAGCGTATGTAACCTGAAGTGTCTGTAACCTGAGGTACCACTGTAGTTTTAGCGCCTGCATTTGCTGGTCGTTTTATGCTCCTGCAATTTGCATTGTGTTCCATTGCTCTTTTTGCATTTGGCTTCATGCCGGTTTGGTGTGAAGATTCATCGCATACACACTCCAGTTGTATTATGATGTTTTAAACTGATTTTATGAGACACCCAGAGAACTTATCTTACAGAAGAACCTTACATCGCTAACTTGTAAATAAGAATAATAAATAACACTGTACCAAGGGACCGAGTGGGTAGACTCTGAACAATGCATGACTAAAGGAGGACAGTACAAGACAGAGCAAGGCCATAAATAGCTAGCTTACCCACCCCTGCTTTGCTTGTCTTTGCATGCACACAAGTACACACACACACACACACTTTTTTTTTGCAACTGTCAAGATGCAAAGTCACTCCCTGACAACCCATTATTTAGAGGTTCAATCATAAAATCTGGACTGTGGCAGAAAACTGGGAACTGGCTTTATATGAATGCAGCACTTTTCTTCTAAAAAAATTGTTTAGGGGTACTCTCGTTTTCCTACTCATCATCATCATCATTGTTTTTTATTTGTATGCCGCCTTTCCACAGTTAAAAAAGCAACGCTCAAGGCGGCTTACAGCATACAACAAGATTTACATAATTATAAAAGTCATAAACAATAAATAAACCACATCCAAAAAACACACAACCAAATGGGAAACAATTTCCACATAAATCAAAATCTAAACTTAGATTACAGCATTAATATCACAGTTTAAAATGACATAGGTAAAAAATAACAGCAATTTAAACAAAAAAACAAAAAATAAGCCCTTTCTGCCCAGCAGCAGTGTTTTATAGACATTACACTTGTATATTATCAATATTTGGGTTGCACGTTGAACGCAATGAGAGAAGGTTACAATCCTGCTCTTCAGTCATTCAGTCTTGAGAGCCAAGTTATCTCACAATGAATCCAATGAAATCCAAACTGCCAGATGAATAATTTGAAGAGTGCCCTATAGTACCTCATCCAGGAATAAAGCTAATTCACAATAAACTTAATTTGCCCTTTGATTACCTAAACTGATTCATGCTGTCCAGATGACCACACAGATGGCCCGAAACACAAAATCCTCATTGGATATATGTTAAAAAGCAAATTGTAAAAAAGAAAGGGGTAAAAAAACACACACCCAGCAATCCTTAATCCTTCTCATATTGCTGGCTCTTGAGGACAGCGAGGAAAGGTCATTACTCAGATGAAAAGAAAGCCAGGATAGTGAATTTATATTTCATGCCCTGTTTATCAATTAAACCCCCCATTTTTAAAATACCCAACTAGCAAAATTCCCATTGTTATGTTGACTGTGCATGGAGGAACATAAGAACATAGCTCAGTTGGTAGAGCATGAGACTCAGGGTTGTGGGTTCGAGTTCTGCATTGGGCGACAGATCTAGATCTAGATGTCAAGATCTAGATGTCTAGATGACCCTTGTGGTCTCTTCCAACTAAACAATTCTATGATTTTATGATCATAGAGCAGCCCTGTTGGATCAGGCCGGTGGCCGTCTAGTCCATCATCCTGTTCTCACAGATGTCAACCACATGCCTTACGGGGAAGCTCCCAAATAGGATGTGACTACAACAGCATTCTGCCCACTTGTGATTTTCAGCAGCTGGCATTCAGGGACATACTGCCTCTGACAGAGGGGGATAGAACATAGCCATTGTGGCTCATGTCAGGAGTGCGTGCAGGAGCCGGGCCCTGTGACCAGTAGGGCTTCGCAGGACTGGGGCCTTCCTAAGTTTGTTCTGGAGAGGCAAGGCACAGCCGCACGGGTGAGGCCGCTTGGTAACTCACTGCACCTGGTGGCTAGAGCCGGGAAGGGATATAAGGTCAACATTTCCCTTTGGCACTTTGCCACAGCAACACGTTTCCTGCCTTGCTGCATTTGGCTTCTTGCTTCCTGATCCTCCGACCTAGGCTTCCTGACTCCTTGCTTCTCGACCCTCGGACCCTTGACTTCATGACTCCTTGCTTCTCGACCCTCGGACCCTTGACTTCGTGCTTCCTTGCTTCTCGACCCTCAGACCCTTGACTTCATAACTCCCTCTTCCTGACCCTTGGATCCCTGGCTTCTGGACTCTTGTTCCTGCTCCCACCCCACCATCTTGCCCCCGGTCCTGGCATCCTCAGCCGGGACTTCAATTGTCCGTATACTGAACCTTGACAGCTCTTAGCCATAGCAGTAGTAAGCTCTCATTATCTCTGATGGACAAACCAGACAGCATGTGAAATGTCTGGCTGCAGATGTCCTACCACGGAGCCACAGGCCTCTCCTGCTGCCACGTTTGACCCCGGGTTTGAGGGACTTCACAAAAGCTATCAGGAATACTTTGCTAATGACTGACAGGTGGCATCCGAGCACTGCTAGTGACAGCAACTACCTCCTCTCCCCTCATCTGTTCTCATTGAGAAACACAAAGAAAATGAATCTGCATGGATTGTTTCACCTGCAGCAACAAAGAGTGAGTCAAATTCAAGATCTAGTTCGGAGGCATCTTGGTCTGTGTGTTTCCGCAGCATCCCAGCATCCATTGTGCAAGTTTCTTTTTAGAAAACCATCTTGGCACATTCATGTCAGCATCATAATGTTGCAGTGTGCAGAAGGGTAGGAGGTAACCAGCCTGTAGCTTAGGCAATGAAGTGTGTCACGATCACCAAGGGGAAGGACAGTTCACGGAGGCTGTGCTGGCTGAGATTAAAAGACGGGTCTGAGATTTGAATTCCCTCGGAAGAGGCTATCCAGTATTTGGCTGACTTTCCTTCTCTTTATTCTTCACATTCATGTCATTTCATTAAAATAATCTGGAGTGGAGGCTTGCGATGAATGGAAGAGCAAGCAAGGATGCTACCTTGCTGTTGCAAACAGAGCAGGATTTAGGTTTCATGAGGCCCTAAGCTACTGAAGGTAATGGGGCCCTTTATATGTGATATTTTAGGGAGCAGGTTGCCAGCGGGGCCCATTACTTACAGCATAGGAGCCTACACAACACAAAACACTGTTGCTGTATGTAGGTTTTATTTTTTATTTTTTTATCTTATATTTTGGAAATGTACATCCAGCTTTTTTTCCCCTTTAAATTTTTGTGGAGCCCCCAAGAGAGTGGGGCCCTAAGCTATAGCTTGTTTAGCTTATACGTAAATCCAGCACAGGTTGCAAACCATTACAGTCATACCTTGGATCCCAAACGCCTTGCAAGTTGAACGTTTTGGCTCTTGAACGCCGCAAACCTGGAAGTGAATGTTCTGGTTTGCAAACGTTCTTTGGAACCCAAATGTCCAATGCGGCTTACGCAGCTTCCAATTGGCTGCAGGATCTTCCAATTGGCTGCAGGATCTTCCTGCAGCCAATCAGAAGCCACGCCTTGATTTCTGAATGTTTGGAAGTAGAACGGACTCCATTCAACTGTACTGGGAGTTGTGATCAGTACAAAAGAGAAGGAAATGTTACTGATCACAAATGAGAGAATATGGACTGGATGATCCCCAGGGTCCCTTCCAGCTCCACAATTCTGATTCTATAAAGGTCAGGGTAAAAATTACTCGAATGTTTCACTATGACATGTGTACCATTGGCAGTTTTCATTCCTCTTATTAACCTGTGTATTTTCCTCATACAGTTCAATTTGAATAAAAGTTTGTGTACATTTGATATTGATATATCTCAGCAATTCTTATCCTGACCTTTATATTATTTCTAAATAATATAATATAAATATTATTTCTAAAAAATATTTGCCCTTGAAATAAAGGAACTGGTGCCTTTGACATACAAACCTAGGCTTGGATTCCAATCCTACACATGCTTACTTGGGAGTAAGCGCCATTGAACCCAAGGAGACCTTCATCTGAATAGCATCCTATATACAGTATGCCTATTCAGATGTCCCATTGTGTTAAATGGCATTTATCCCCATATAAGTGTGCAGAGGATTGTAACCATTTATCGTGAATGTTTTAGTTGAGATTGGCCACCTGTTGTGTATGCTATAGTTCAGCTAATTAGTGAGGAGCCCCTATTTTCCAAAAGCCAAGCCACAGACCCCTTTACTTTTGAAAAGTTTGATAGCTCTATGGTAGTTACCTCTACAAAGCAATTTTTTGAACAAAATGTGGGGTAGCCCCTAATAAGCAAAGGATTTTAGGTATACTAAAAAAACAACATCAGACTAGGTCTGTTCAATACAGTGGTACCTCGGGTTAAGAACTTAATTGGTTCTGGAGGTCCATACTTAACCTGAAACTGTTCTTAACCTGAAGCACCACTTTAGCTAATGGGGCCTCCTGCTGCCGCCGCGCCGCCGGAGCATGATTTCTGTTCTCATCCTGAAGCAAAGTTCTTAACCCAAGGTACTATTTCTGGGTTAGCGGAGTCTGTAACCTGAAGCGTATGTAACCCGAGGTACCACTGTATTGAACAGACCAGTGTGGTGTAGTGGTTAAGAGCGATAGACTCGCAATCTGGGGAACCGGGTTTGCGTCTCCGCTCCTCCACATGCAGCTGCTGGGTGACCTTGGGCCAGTCACACTTCTCTGAAGTCTCTCAGCCCCACTCACCTCACAGAGTGTTTGTTGTGGGGGAGGAAGGGAAAAGAGAATGTTAGCTGCTTTGAGACTCCTTAGGGTAGTGATAAAGCGGGATATCAAATCCAAACTCTTCTACCACTTTATTGAAAACTATGGTGGGGGAGTTCAAGTAGGTGAGTTACCTGATAAAAGAAAGGTTCTGATCCCTCTGCTCTCCTGGGCATATTTACAGCCACAACCTGTGGCCACATAGCAAACGATTAGAATGCAGTCTGGCATTCACAAAAGTGTGCCTGCCAAGTTTCAAGGACATTCCCAAAAAGTGTTGTTTCAAGCCAAAGGCAATGGAAGATATCTCAAGAGTCCCCTACCAGGTAGTTCAGAAACCATAGAATTGTAGAGTTGGAAGGGACCCTGGGGTAGGGGCATTCTGAGGGGGGGGTACCATTCCAAAGGGGGGGGTGACAAAATGCCGACCCCTGATTGAGGGCAACCACGGGGCACGGACCACTGGCCACGCACCTCCTGGGACACGCGTCACGCCCCCAGGACGTGTGGCAAGCCCCCGGGACGCGTGCCATGCCCTCCACGGGCAGCACACTGCACCCCCTGGGATGTGTGCCACGCCCCCTGGGACGAGCGCCGCTCCAGATACTGGAGAAGGTTGCTTTGCCTCTGCCCTGGGGCTCATCTAGTCCAACCCCCTGCAATACAGGAATGAATATTTAGCTGTCCCAAAAGGGGATTGAAGCTGCAACCCTGGCGTTATCAGCACCACACTCTAACCAACTGAGCTAGTCAACAAACTAGTTCTTAAATTCTCTCACCTGTCTGGGCTGAATGCATATTGAACCAAAGATACGCAAACCCCACCTCAAAGGCCAAAGAAAATCACCCCATAGTGTGCAGTTGTGGGGGGGAGACACACCTAAAAGCCAATCAGGAACTTCCCCCAAAATTCCTATTCCGCCCCAGCAAAGGTGACAAGCAAAGCCCACACTGTAAAGGAAATGTATGCCTTTTGGAGCTATACGTTGTATAACAAACCATGGCTTCCCATGCTGTGCTTTGTTAAAGCAACATCCTTCCTACTGCCAAGGAGATAGATGGAGTATATTTAATGTTGCTAGCTCAAAAACAAAACAAACTACCCTCTGTGATGGAAGGAAGAACAGATGGAAGAGAGTTCGTATGACGATAGCGGGAATAAAAATACTCTCCGTGTAGCCCAAATGGTCTAAGCAGAAGGTCTTCCAAATTTTACACAAGGCATCAGCAAGTCCTGTGTTTTTTGTTGTTGTTTTTCTAAAAAAGAAAGGTCAGCTTAATGAATAAGCCAGTTTGTTTTTCCCTGACAGGAAGCCCATACAACTTGGACGTGGCGAGGAGGGAAAGATCACCCTGTAACCCTTTGTCCTTTCTCTTCAGTCTGATGCTAACCCAAATTGAGGTGGTACCGCCTTGCTCAGTAACATTTTGCATGCTGTGCAAAGTGAATTAAATTCCAGAGAGCAGTATCAAGGCTTACCACATGGAGCTTGGGTGGACAGCTGCTCCCAGGGATAAAAACAGAAAGGGAATACTCCCATCACATTGCATTACAGACACAAAGGGATGGGCAAATCAATGAATTTCATTTTATCCTTCTCCCAATGATACATTCCGTTCTGCACAATCCCATAGCAGTTTATAATAATTATACTTTTTAGAAAGTCCTCATGAAAATTCAACAACATTCTAGCGTGAATTTCACATAGCATACATATTTTGATTTGTAATTCTGCTTTCCATTTTGCTCTTTTGCAGTGGTTTTCTCCAATCGGATGCATTTCCCCCCCTATGTTACTTTCACTAGTGTGTGCATTTATAGGCACACTTCACCACAGGATGAATAGAATAGATGCTATAGAAACGAATATCTGTGGCTGGAGAACTGCACGGAAAATTCATAGAAGCACAAATTTCAAAAGATGGCTGGTGTTTGGCTTGCATATTGCTTCACAAAGTGCAAATGGGTAAGTTTGCCTTTAAATGTGAACCGAGTCTAATTTCTCTGCCATCTCTGAATGCAGATGAAGTTAACTCCCATGGGAGCACTACTTGGTGAGAATATGAAGAGGAAAAAAGGGACGACAAGAAAGCTATGTTATGTTTTTACACTGTCAGAGTTGGTTTTTTTCCCCTTAACAGTAAAACATACAGATCACAATCAATTACCGGTAAGCACATCTACTGAACATTCAGCATGATTTGTTTTGATCCTCTTGATTATTAACCTCCATTATTTATATAGCATGATCAACATGCATGTAACTTTAAAGAGAAAAATATAGATCTCTGCCTCTAGAGGCATACAGATTAAGGCTGATATCCTGTGCCTTCTTCCCTGGGATTAAATCCCATTGAGCTCAATTGGATTTAGATCTGAGCAGATTGTGCTGTAAATGGTTTTATTCAACTGTATTTTGCTCAAGGTAGACCCATTGAAATAAATGACTCAACTTAATCAGGTTCATTAAGTTCACTGGGTCTGATAAGAACAAATGAGGCTACATAGGTTTCATTTCGATTTCAGTTGCAGTTGAGGACTAAGAGCTTAAGACAAGTCCTTAATGAGCCTTATAAAAGTTTTGAAACTTGCTGGTAATGTGTGCATTCCAGGAAACAGCTGGGTACATCTGTGTCCCATCTAGTTCATCTAATCTTAGATTATCTCTGCAATTAACACTATGTTCACATTAGTGTCTTAAATTTGCAGCAACACCCCCCCCCCCCGCTGTGTTTCCAAGTCACATTCTCCCACCACTGTCCACAATAGAGCAGGGGCAGAGATGTATTTGCCCAATTATAATTATTTTCCTGCACAGAACTTGAAGTCAGTGAAGCTTTCACCTGTGCATGTGCCATCATCTACACATGCATGAAAGCCACCACAATGGAATGGCACCGTCCATTTCTCGAATTGCACAGAAGCTGGTTTGAGGGAAAACACATGCTTCTCTAAAAGCAACAGGGTACAGATGGATTGGGGAGAATGTCATGCAAACCTGGCTTAAAGAACCAGTGGTGGGAGCACTGAAGTAAATGGCAATGTGAACACACCCCTAGACTGCAGTGTTAGGCAAATGTGAGTTCTATGGGTCAGGTCCTTAATGTACATGGAAAGATTTGCTCTCATTAAACATGGCTAGGTGAGTTGGTTTGAACATGGTGCTTATAACACCAAGGTTGCAGGTTTGATCCCTGTAAGGGAAAACCGCATAAATCTGAATTGTAGGGGGTTGGAGTCGATGATCTTCAGGATCCCTTCCAACTCCATGATTCTGTTATTCAAAGCAGTGTGTAGGTGTAGCAGGGAGCACTTTTTATAAATACTTCTCCTGTTTGCAAAAAGTACCCATCATTTTGATGATATGTATATATATTTACCAGGTCTGCAAACAGTGATGAAAGTATTCACTCATTTCCTGCACTCCAACTCCCAGCATCCCTGATCATTGGCTATGCTGACTGGGACAGATTCTTATGCAAGGCAAATCCTAAAAAAAACATAAGAACGCTGCTGGATCAGACAGGTGGTCTATCTAGTCCAAAATTTTGTTTCCACCGTGGCCAACCAGACCCCTATGGCAAGTCCACAAGCAGGACAAGAGTGCAATAACCCTCTGGGTATCTTGGAGTAGAATTCCCAATGTATCCTCTCTAAAGTAAACTCCATTGAGTTCAATGGGTTTTATTCTCAGATATATGGGCATAGAAGCTGAGCCATGAACAGAGCTAGTCTGCTCTCTTTAGCTGAAACTGGTGTATTGTGTAAGCATCCAAGAACACTAAAAATGTACATAAAATCTGTAATTAGGGCATTATCCAATAACCATCAGTTGTGCTGGCATTTGTTTCTATACCATTATGAGGATTTGCATACCAGCCAAGGAAGAAGCATTTGAAACCCAGACAATGTGAAAATTAATTTACAGTCAGCCTCTTGTTTAACATTCATGTCTGGGTATGAAAAGTTATGTTTATCTTGCCTTCAGATTTGGCTTTCAGATAGAGTTGAAACAACCCATTATCTTAAGCAGAGACAATGAACCTTGTGGTCTTCCAGATGTTGTTGGACTCCAACTCCTATTAGCCCCAGCCACCATGGCCCCCTCATCCAGTGATGAAAGCTAAAACCAGCAACATCAAGAAGGCTTCCCACCCCTGATCTATAGACTCAGACTTCAATCCTCTTTAATTTATTTATTGATCCCATATACACAGCCTTTGTGCAAACACATGCAAGGCAGTTTGTAGTTTAAAGTACTGATTATAGATTACAGCATGAATCGGGAAACCTTGAACCATCAATTATTATTGGTGTATGACTCCTATCATCCCTAATCATTGGCTTTTCTGCATAGGGCTTATGGGAGCTGGAAAGTGAAGATGCAAATCAGTAGACTAGAGTAATGAGGATAATATATTTCTCCCATCTGGTACATTATCAACACACATGCTTGTTATGTCAACACTGTTTCCCCTTTGGCATGTTTCAAATGGTGTTCAAGGAATGCACATCTGTGTATACATGTACAACCATCCACTCAGTCATGTCAACAGAGTCGTGTGTGTGTGTGTGTGTGTGTGTGTGTGTGTGTGTTTCATTGATAACTTGTCAATCCCTAGTTTCAACAGTCTTGATAAGAAGTGTTCTCTTTGAGTGGGAGTCCACTGGGAAAGACTCAAGGGTTGTTCCTCTTTTTGTTCAAGTCACAGGACAGTTTAAAACAGGGAAATAGACCCCTCACAAATCACAGAACAATTACAGCTACAGGAAAGGGGCCTCTTCTTCTCCAAATACCTGCCCCCAAAAGATGTGCATTAACCAGTCACCTAAAACTTGAAAGACCTACACAGGCTCCCAGTACGTTTCTGAGCACAATTCAAAGTGTTGGTGATGACCTTTAAAGCCCTAAATGGCCTCAGTCCTGTATACCTGAAGGAGTGTCTCCACCTCCATCGTTCTGCCCAGACACTGAGGTCCAGTGCGGAGGACCTTCTGGCGGTTCCCTCGCTACGAGAAGCCAAGTTACAGGGAACCAGGCAGAGGGCCTTTTTGGTAGTGGCACCCGCCCTGTGGAACACCCTCCCACCAGATGTCAAAGAGAAAAATAACTACCAAACTTTTAGAAGACATCTGAAGGCAGCCCTGTTTAGGGAAGCTTTTAATGTTTAATAGGTTATTGTATTTTAGTGTGTTTTTTTGGAAGCCGCCCAGAGTGGCTGGGGAAACCCAGCCAGATGGGCAGGGTATAAATAATAAATGTATTATTATTATTATTATTATTATTATTATTATTATTATTATTTATTAAAACCAGATGGGTCCAGACATAACTCAGGAAGGTAGCTCCACAATACATGGGTTCATCATTGAAAAAGACATTTCCAGGGCCCTACGCCACATAATTCACACTCAAGCAGGACCACTGGGAGGGCCTGATCTTACAGCATAAGAACCAACTCCTAGGGACTGGGGGGGCTTCACCCCCCCACAATAAAATATTTGATGGGGCCAAGACCCCCCCCCCAACTTGATGGGCATTCCCATTCAAATGTTGTGTGCGTGCACTGTGTTATGTGATGAATTATGTGGGGCAGGCCTTACCTGGGCCCCCACAATATTTTATTCGACACTCCTGTCTTACAGTATTGGCTGACCTGGAAGAAGATGGTCTTCTTGCAAATATTTTAGTCCCAAGCTGTGTAGAGCTTTAAACATCAAGGTAAGCCCCTGGCATCTTGTCTGGGGCTGGGGATGA